ATAGGTTTAGATTTGAGTTTTAAAATAAAATCAGTAATTTCGTTTTCTAATTGTTGTTTAACAAATTTTTTGTTGTAAAGGGCTGAAATCCAGACTCCTAGATATCTAGTAAATTCATTTAGTTTTTTTGTTAATATTGTTACAGGACCGTTCAAATGCTTGCTATGAAATGATATGTTACCAATTGTTGCTTCAGATGTTACAATAAAGGATTTATCTATGTTAATTTAAATTTTTATAATTATTAAATAATAAATTATTTTTAAAAATTAAAAAATTAAAAAATTAATATATATTAATAATTATAAATTTTAAAAGTTTAAAAATACTATTATTAGATATATTATAATATGATAAATTTAAAAATTTTATTTTATTTTTTTATAATCAAAATATTTTAAGTTTTTTAAAATATTTTAGAATAATTTTATACTTATAGTTAAGATAAAATTACTTACAAATTTGTAGTAAAATAATTAAAAAGATAATATTTAATAAAATATTAATTTTATACTTAATATTCAATTAATATTTAATATAAATCAATTTATATATATATAATATATATATATAAATTTGTCAGTAAAAAAGGTGAAAATCTAAAATTTTCATTAACTTTAGTTTCTAAACTAATTTTAAATATATGACTGTGATCAGTCAAGTGGACCAATAAAAAAATTTTATCAAAATTTAGATTTTCTCCTTTTTTATTGACTAGCCTCTATATATTAAAAAATAAATAAAAATAATTATTAATTATTTTATATAAACTAATAAAAAAATATTTAAAATTTATTATACTAATATAAAAGATTTTATTTTAAAAAAAATAATATAAATAATATATTTTAAATTTTATATATAATAAAATTTTTATATGTAGTGTATACAATTTAAAGTCAGGTAATATTTTGAAAAGTAGTTAAATTTTAATTGTATATAGATTATAGATTTTTATATAATTACATAATTTAATATTATTAATTTATTATATTTATAGATTAATTACATTAATTAGAATATGCTTATAAAATTTATATTTTTTAACTGCATATAAAGCTTTTAAACTCTTAATTCTTTCTTATATATATCTATAAATCTTTAATTCTGCCTAGCATATCTCTTTAATTCTTTTCTATATGTATCTATAAATCTTCAATTCTGCTTAACATATTTTTAAATTTATGCTATTAGTATTAAGTTTAATATATTTAATCATTTTTATTAAATAATTTTTTTTATCATTAATAAAAATATTTAATTTTGATTATTTTTTATTAAATAATATTTATATTATTTAATAGAAATAATATTTTAATTATATTAATTAAATAATATTTTTATAATTCAATTAAAATAAACTAAACTAAAATTTTCAAATTGATTTTTAATGCAATTTGAAATTGAACTGAATTTATAATAATTAAATGATAAGTGCAGTATTTTGTGTTAAAATTATAAAATTATAAGATATTAAAATAAAGATTAATTTGAGTTTATAATAGATTTAATCTATAAAATTAGTATAATTAAAAAAAATATTTTATTACAATATTACTATCTAAATGACATCAAATTTTATTTAGTATTAGTTAATATAAATTATATATAATATAGTTAAAATTATTTAAATGAAAGTGATAATAGATATAATTACAATTATATTATTAAAAAATTACTAAAGTAATAGAAAAAAGCAGGTATTATAAAAAATTAAATTTGTTAGTTATTTTATAATTAGAATCTTTATCAAATAATATAATAAAATTAAAAATATTATAATTTTAATTAGTATTTTAAATTTAAAATATTTTACAATAATTTTTTATTATAATTTTATAGTTTAAAAAAATATTTATTAAATATTTTATTTCTGTTATAAGTTAACTTAAATATAATTGAATCAAATTAAGTTTAAATCAAATTGAATTAAATAATTTAATTCAACTTAAATTTGATTTAATTTATAAATCATTAAGTTAAAAAAAATACAAATTTGTCTTAATTTAAATTTGATTCAACTTATTTAACTTATAAATTAACTAATTTATCTAATACTTTAATTTTTATTATAACAGGTTTGATTAATTTATTATAGATAATATTAAGATTTTACTATAAATTTTAATATATTAAACATATTTTATTATATATGATTTAGTTTATTCTAAGAAAAATTTAAATTTAAATTTAATTTCTATTTTGATATATTTAATTTTATTATATATAACTATTATATTTATTATATTAGTTATCAAATTTGTAAATCATCTATATTATATATATTATGTTATATATATTTATAATTATTAATATTAATATAAATTTTATTTTTTAAATATTTTCTTTTTCTTATTATAAAATATTTTTATATTTTTAAATTATAATAATAAATTTTATTTAAATAATAATTAATATTTTAAAAATGTATTATTATTAAACTTATTAATTTAAATTAAACTTATTCGATTTATATATTAATAAAATTAAATTTAATATTTGTTTATTTTAAAATAAAAAATCAAATTTAAATTATTAAATTATATAAATTAATATTATTAATTAAATATTAATTTTAAAGAAATATTTATAAGATTTTCAAATTAAAAATTAGGTAAATTATAATAAAAAATGATATAATAAAATAAGTAAAATTATTTTAAGACTGTATTATATTTTAAAATATTTATTTTAGCTGTTTCCATATTATACTTATTTAATATATTATTATTATATTTCTCAAAATTTTATTTACTATTTCTATCAGTCTTTTGTAATTTGAATTCACATAATAAGTTTAACAAATTTCAGATCATATATGCACGTTAAAATAAAGACTTAAAAAATATAGCAAAAACCATTCAATTATTATTAACTATTTTTAACAATTAAAACATTTATAAAAACTTTTTTTTTTTTTTTAACATAATATATATAAGGTGGGAGAAATGAATTTAAAAATATGCGCAGTCATTAAAAAAAAGAAAAAAAAAATATAAATTAAATAAATACTTTCCCGAAAATTATTGTAAAAAAAAAAAAATAATAACGAAATACAAATGGATATGTAATATATAAAAAAAAATAATAGTAGTAGTAGAAGAAAACGTCTAGACTAAAAAATAATAGGTGAATAATAAGAATTATAAGTTTTAAATAAAAAAGAAAAAAATAAATCTAGTCTAGTTCTCTTTTGTTGGTTGTCAACTTTTAAAATTCCGTTCGTAACCGATTTTTAAATGAATAAATATATAAATATTCCAAATTAGAAAAGATAATGATGTTAATAAATAATTTATTTTGCATTGACATATCTGCCTAAAGCCGCGACAATCAATTCCTTGTTCTTCTTATCATCCGAAAAGAAGTAATAAGGTTCTGATGATCGGAAATCCACTTTAAAGGAATTAAGTATCAATACATCGGATTGCGCATCCGTTACGCCAGTTACTTGACCGTCAAGTTCAAGTTTAGAAATAGGAAGTTTATCGGTTTCGTCACGGAATAGGTAGAGTGTCTTTCCACGAAGTTCAAAGAATCGACGCTTCCAAAACTGTTTGTTTTAAGGCAAAATTTATTTATTAATATATTGCAAACAAACTTATATTTTTTAAAAAAAATAACTTACGTAAACTCCGCCACCTTGAACCGTGATATAACCACTTAATGTAACCTAAAGAAAAAAAAATTCGTTAACGCACAGAAAATAAAATAATGAACCCCTTGAATGATTTACCTTTCCGCTCTTTTCCAACTCAGCAAATTTAGATCTGAGTTCTTCAGTACGTTTCCGTTCTGCCTCTTCACGGGCTTTGCGATCAGATTCTGCTTTAGCTTTAGCTTCAGCAGCCACTCTTTCTTTTCGCTCTAGTTCAAGGGCTTCATTTTTCTTTTTCTCGGCCTCTTCAAGTGCTCTTCTCTGAGCAGCCTCTCTTGCGACCTGTTCAGCTTTCCGTCTATCTGCAGCGTCGCGTTCACCTTTTTCTCGGGCTTGTCTTTCAGCGTCTTCCTGAGCGCGTCTTTCGGATTCCTGTTTAGCAGCAGCTTCATCGATTTCTACATCTTGACCTGGTGAAACTGGTGATTGAGGTTGAACCGGGCTAGAAATTGGTGGTGTATTAAGAGTTGTTTGAGTTTGGACACGTTTTGGTGGAGAGTTTGGTCTTTCGGCTGGGTCGCCGAGTTTCAATCGATTTCGCACATTAGCTTCAGTAAGATCATTGGGTGTGGAGGCGTTAATTTGAATTTGGTGTGCCTGCTTGACATTAAATGAGGTGTTCACATCGGATAGGAATTTTAGGATACCAGATGGTTTGTCAAATCGAAAAATGATAATTTTGTTTTTATTGATATACAAAAACTTCACTCTACCTTAAATAATGCACCAACGGCTCTGCCGTGGACCAAAGCGCGGGCTATGAGAACGAAGTAAAAAAAAAAATTCAGCAATTAGAATTAGAAGAAATTCCTCAATATCCCAAATATATTGAAATTCCTAATAAGTACCTCTTCTTACACCACTATTATTCAAATTTATTTAGCATATGATAAGGTATTATTAGTAACAAATAATCTTGATATAGCATGTACTCTTTTTCTATCAAAACTATCAAAACGCACCTGACTTGGTCGCTCACATAAGTTAACAAGACGAATCTATTTTCTATTCTCAAAAAACCATAGATTACTTCCTCTTTGAGATTATCGCGAAGTTCATCAAGACCACCGGGACCTTTAGAATATAAGGAAATTTTGTCCCTAGTATCATTATAGCCAAGAATGAGCCTATAATACATATGAATAAAAAAAAAAAAATTTTTTTTTGGTTATTTAATACGTTATAACTAGTGCAAACAGTACAGCCTGTCTAATTATATTTGCCACGGCATGCAATTCCTAACGAACTAATTTCTCGGGATAGTATCTAAATAAATATACACACAAAGATCTTAACAGAACTATTAAGTTCCGCATTGTAGCACGCTCAGAATATCTCTCTGTGCCATTAACGACTAAAATATTACTTTGAACAGCATCTGAATTTTGGAGAACAGAGAAATAAAAGGTTAGCCCTACCAGTTAGTATCCTGACCACTGACGATCTCATCATATGCTACCGAAATGGCTGGGTCAGTTAAATCGCAAGACATTTGTTATGATGCGCGTGAAAAAAAAGGTAAAAAAGGATTTAAAGAATTTATTCTTTCTTTTTACAAAGTAACAAGGGTATATCAAAGGAGTGAAAAAGTTTTAGTTTGGTTTTAAAATTGAATTATGAAATTTTCAAATTATTCATTTGAAATTTATTTTGCAAAGGTGTTTTTTTTTGCTATGAATTTTGAAAGCAATGGATTTATTAAATCTGTGTTAAAATTTTCTTTTAAATAAGACTAGAGATGAGAAAAAGGAGAAAAAACCAGCTAAAGGATTGAATTTGATATATTAAGACCCAGAGAAGCAGAAAATTTGATACAAGTAAAAAGTAAATCAATTGGGTTACGACTTTCCATGATAAACGTTACATGCACTTGTAAACTTAAAATAAAATTTACACAACATAAATATTTGCACGAAATTAAAAGCTTGCTAATAAAAACGATAGTAGTCGAAAAAACAAAAATTTTCTTTTTAAAATCCAATATTATTATAAACGCGTTTTTATTTCATCCGGAATTATGATAATGATTGTCAATTTTTCTTTATATATCAGACATTTTGACATAATATTTCACTAATTAATAGTTTTTTAAGGTTTTTTTCTTTTCTACTATATAGTACTGAATTCAATTTTTTTTATTTTAATATTTAAGTTAAAAAACTAACAATTAATATTATCAAAATTTATAATTTTTAAAAATTTACTTAGCTTTATAGGTAGGATTATAATAGTATACCATATAATCAAAATTTTAGTATAGGTACAATATCTGTATAACTAGTATACTTAGTATAAATAGTGATAATACAATTCAAAAATAAATATAGCTACTGTATATAATGATATTTATTATAATTTAGTATAGAATATACATATGATAGCTTGTATGATAATATAATGTTTAAATTATACTAAAGAAACAGAAATTATTGTTAAGTCTAGAACAATCTTAACTAAAAAAAATTATACTGATATTTGCTTTATCTAAGATTTATACAATTACAAAAACTAATCAGCATTAACTTAATTATTAAGTAAGCAGATATTGAGATATTTTTTCATTATATATAGTCTTACACTTTATTTTTGATTAATATATATTAGTAAAAAATTTAAAAATGTAATGCATTATAATTTTTGTAATTAATAATGATAGTTTATTATTATTTTTTCTTAATAAAAAATATGATGCAAATTTTAAAAGATTATATTGTCTTAACAAATAAAAAATTAGTAACACTAATAAACTGTATTATTAAAGTAATTATTGATAAAATAATGAATTTTAACGTATTTTAAAAATTGTTTAAATTTTCATGATATATATATTTAAAAAAAAAATGAGAAGATATTTTTATTTGTAATCCTAAAAATCAGTTTTAAATAAAAGATAAATAAGTTTTTTTAACCAATTTAATTTTTATTTATATAATAATTAATATTTTTATTTTTTAGAAAATGATTTAACAACTAATATAATATCTAATTCATCTCTAACTAATTGATTATCTAAAATAATATGAAGAATCTTATTATCATTTATTCTTACAATTATTTTTATCATCTTTATATACTAATTATAACTTATAAATAATTTGTAGCTTAACCTTTTTCTAATAAAAATAAAAATAAAATTTTATATGTAATTACTATGAATTACTATTTTGTGTAACTTTTTCTTATTTTAAATAATTAAACTTTTTAGATTTTTAAGCCTTTAAGTTAAATTATCTAATAAAAAATTTTATCAGATAAAATAGAGGTTGAAACTAGCTAAAAATTCTTTAATCAGTTAATAACTAGTTAAAATATTTGTTAACTAGTTAATTAACTGATTAAAATTAACTTTAATCAATACTATAAATTTGACTTGAGTTAGATAATATTGTATAATCATAAAAATTTTAATTCTGGTCAGAAATTAAATTCATTTATTTTAAACGATTAAGAAAAATCTTTAAATTAACTGATTTTAACTTAAAAGATAAAATTTTGTATAAAGTTGTTATAGATCTTAATAATACAATAATTAAAAAATCAAAGTCAAATTAGATAAGTGTTATATTTTTTTTTAATAGATAAATTAATATTTGTAAATAAGAATTAATAGAAATAATTCTTGTATTTTCTGATGGATAACTTTATTTAAAAAGTAGTAAATATGTCAAAAAACTGCTGATATTTTTTTTAAAATGAAAAAAATAATCACTAGTATCAGAAAACTTGATTTAACAATTTTGACTATTATTATAAATAATGCACTGATATTTAATACTGTACAGTAAGTAAATTTTTATTTTTATTTTATTATTATTTAATATTAAATTACTTAAAATTAATTTCTTTATATTATAGATTACATCTTCAAATTCAATATTAAAATATTAATTTTTTATCATATTTGCATATCAAATAAACTTATATAAGAAAAATTTTTAAAGTATCATTAAAAATTAAAATAGTATTATCTCAAATTTTAAAAATAGTAACATATTTTAAAATGTAAATATTTAACAAATTTATGAAAATATATTCAGTTTATAATTTCTAAAAATACATAATAAAACAGTTATATTACTAATTATACATATTTAATAGTAACTAAAATTGCTTGCAGATATTTTTTTATATTTTATTTATTTATATTATTTTATAAAAACTAATAGTCATATAGCATGTCTAATGATCAGCATTTTTAAATAATTAATTATAAGATTGATAAATTATATTATCTTATATTATCATAGTAACAATATAAAAATTATATAGATAAGCATAAAATATTTTTTGTATTACAGTTAATTAAGTAAGTCTAATTATATTTCAAAAATAATTGTTTTTATTTTTGTTTTTACTTTTTTTATAACTAGTTTATTTTTTAAAACAAATATTAATAAAATTTAAATAAAATTGATTAATAAAAAGTGCTACAGTGCATACAACTTAGTCCTGACAAAAAATTTTCAAGCGGCCAATTTTGAAATGTTGATCATTTATCATGTGATAAAGTAACTTTGTAATTTTATTAGTCTGTACGCATACACGTGATATGGTAATTGAATCAGGAGCAGGGATGATGATTTATGGCATTTCACAATATATCACAAAAGTCACAAAATTTTGTGATAAATACAAAATTTAACTTCACAGCCACATAATTTCACAAATTTGATCCTTTGTGTATATATATGCACATAATTCCACATAATTTCCACATAATTTTCAT